CATATGCCATGTTTAGAATAGTTCGAGCCTGCTATAGTTGCATTTTTGCATGTGTATGCATTAGGCATTTTCTGTTACTTAGGATTCATGCATGATTTCTAATGGTTTTTTGTTTTGGCTTGGAGTACTCGGTGAGCTTTATGCTTTAGCATCCTTGCATGCGTTGAGTGAATACCATTGATAGCATGCTTACCATGAGCATTTGCTTATGTTGATATAACTGCCTGAAGCCTGTGGTGTGAGGTTGAGTTGCTTGAATTGGAATAAATCATCAACTATTTGTTTTAAGCCCACTAGATATGGCAAAACCATCTTTTCCTAAGCCACTTGTGGGTGCAAAATCTGCATTTTTAGCCTACTTGCGAGTAGCAAACCACTTTTAAAAAATAAACATGAAATGTGTTCCAATCCAGGCGACCTGGTCTATACTTGTATGCTGTGTGCATCACATAGTAACCTAGGCTAATAACCGGAATAAGAACATACAATGTTTTCAAAAATAGATTATCATGGTTAGTAGAGCGGGTCTCTGACCGGCGAGCGGGGGTGCTCCGAAGTGACCTTCCCCAATCGTACCCAAGTCCCAGTTCCTGAGCCGAGGCAACTTTGGTGATGACGGACACGTGGCCTTAGGCAATGAGTCAGGGTTTCCTAAATTTCCCAAAAATAAAATATTTAGGTGGCGACTCTGTATCTGGCAAAGCAGTCCATGTTTGGCACTTCTTTCAAAAATCTGTTTTCTCAAAACTATTTGCCGGATTTGGACTCTTTGGTTCAGATTTAGAACCGTGACACAAATCGAGTCCGAGCTGTAGCGAGGTCCCCCGCGGGCTTGTTACACCAAGATCTAGGGAACTCAGTTGAAGAGCACATAGAAGAACAGATTAAGCCATCACCTGCACACAAGAAGACAACAAATACCACGGTGGCTTATCCATCCGGGAGTACTCTAATGATCAAGTCAATAAATTATCTCATAAGATATCAACTCAAATTAAGAGCTCACAAAATAAATCACACCTTAGACCCACGGATGTGCCTTACTTTTGTAATGATCAGCGTCCAACTTTCCCTAGAAGTCTTACTTCATGGGACTCTATCTTTTACAAGGATATCAATTATTCAAGACTCATCCTATTTGGATTAAGATCAACCCTCTCAAGAGTCTAAGCCTACCCAAATAGAGAGTCTGTCATCATCTAGAAATCTAGTCCCTCATTTGAACATCTTGGATTCAGATGTGGTTTGACCACACCTCGGCCAATCAGAATCACCCACGTTGCACCTTGGTCAACCACCTAAGCCACGTGGACAACTTAAAATTATGTCCCCACAACTTCCTCCTAGGTTCTATTACCTCGGCAACTTAAGGTAATGGAACCTATGTCGTCTAATCTTTTAACATGTCTGCTAAATAATCATGCTAGAGATACTCCTCCGAACGAGATCATGACTCGTCAGCATAAGAAAATAATGACTCAAATCTCCACTCATCAGGAACGAAGACCCAACATCTCATCCCAGATCGCACTACTAGCCGAGATTATGACCCCGCTAGTTCAAGAATTCCTAGAACCCAAGACGCATGTGAGTTGTCATATCATAACTGCCCCAACCATTTTATCCATGTGTCATCACCAGACTGGTTCGTACTCATCACGCAATAGACGCGTCGCTTCATCTGTGAACCACGCCACCTGATGTCATCTTACGTCAGCGAAGCACATTGCCTAAGGGTTTAAATTAATGACTTTTATCGCCCTTTCAATTTTTAGCAAAACTCTTTCTTCTCTCTCTATCTCTTCATTATGCCATCACAACTCTCTCTCTAAATCTCCATTTCCAAACCTCCATTGTCAAACCTTCAAAGATCCCTACAATTGCTTCTGTTTGTTATCTCAGGCGACCTGATAGCTGCTTTGCTCCGATTATCTAAAGCGTCTCGTATCGGCGAAGAAGAATCTGACTTCCATTCCTTCGATTTCAATCTGTAAGTCTCTCATTCTCTTAATTTCAGTTTTGGTTCTTCGAAGTCTCTTCATGTTCTTGAATATATATACTATGAATTTCTAGTTTCCTCAATGACCACCATTCATACTGTACTTGCATTTGAATTTATATCATTGCTTGGTTTTTGTACATCTTTATTCATGTTATTGCCATGCCATGCTCATATCCTCTATGTTTTTACACTCGAACTTCTTCATGGAATTCACTTTCTGTTCTTTGTGTGTGTCCATGCAATTCAATCTTCATGCTCATAATCAACTTGTTTTTTTTTCTTGGTTTTTCAGATTACTGCCTCTCACTTTTGTCATTGTTTTTGCATTCCTTAGATTAGGATTGGGATTTGCTTGTTCACTTAGGAAAATTGAAACAAATTGTACCCAAAACCTTCTTCAATAAAATACCAAAATCGGAAACCCTAGGTAAAGAACACCTAGAATATCAATATCACCTCAGGCCATTGATACCCAATCATGTAGCCGAGATAATGGGAATGTTTAAGTGGAGGGTAGATTCCCCTAGCAAACTAGAGTATTTCCACCAACAGTTTAACATTCCAGACGATGAAAACGATTCCATAATGCCTGGGGAGAATTACATGCCCTTCCCTGTGGTATCAATCATTAAGGGTGGAATCAAATTCCCCCTTGAAACCCTTTTTAGAAAGATGATGCACTATTATCACCTTAACCCCATGCAATTAGCAATTAACATATTTAGGATCATCAACGACATAACCGAGTTATGTCGCCGACATAACGCAAGGCCTACCCTACCCGATGTTTAGTACTACTACACCATGTGTAGCAACAAGTCTTCCAGTGGCTATACTTACTATCTCAAACCTCGGTCAACTGCTTACAAGATGATAGCCGACCTTCCGGACTCCAACAAGGGTGCTGAAGAATCTCACCATCTCGGGCAACTGGGAGTTTACACCAGATGATGAACTTCGCCTCTTTCCTTTGCGCGAGAGAGATATTTTGGGAAAATGATGGTAAGCACTTAGTTTCCAAGGGCTGGATACTTGATTCAAGTCCCCAGCATGCTGATGTATCAAAGATGCAAACCTTTGACACTTCTCGTACTTCTTGACATAGTCTTCTTCATCCTTTTGAATGTAGGGCCACCAGTACCCTTGTGACATGGCTCTGTGGGCAAGAGATTTGCCCCCTTCATAAATTCCACAAACTTCTTCGTAGATCTCATTTAGGAAGTCTTCTACCTGAGAAAGGTGCACACATTGCAATAATGGTCCAATGAAGGACCTTCTGTAGAGGTGGCCTTCTGCCAACAAACAGAATCTTGCCGACCTAAGTTTGATCTTGTGTGCCTCATTCTTATCTTCTGGTAACCTATCATCTCTGATGAATTTGACCAAGGCATCCATCCAACTTGAGCCTAGCTCTATGCGCATTGCCTTATACTCTGTTATCAAGGGTTCAACGCTTGGACCTGACAAATAATCCACCATAATTGTTCTTGGCCTATCTGAATTCATGGCACTGACAAGGTTTGTTAGTGCATCCGCGTGACTTTTTCTTCTCGCCATACCTGCTGAAGCTAACAACTTTTGAACTGTGCTAATAACTTGATGACCTCTTTGACATAAGCCATTATTCTCTCATCTCAGGCGATGTACTACCCCGTCGCTTGGTTCATGACAAGTTGAGAGTCATAGTAAACTACTACATCGTCGGCTTTGATTACTACTGCTAGCTTCAATCCAGCAATCAGTGCCTCGTACTCTACTTCATTGTTTGAGGCCTTGAACCCTAGTCAAATTGATTGTTCCAGCATTTGTCCATCCAGTGAGAATAGTACCACTTATGCCCCCTTCCTTGTCGGTTTGAACTGTCTTCGACAAATAGGCAAAATGACTAGCCGATGTAAATATCACAAGGCTTCGGCTTCTCTTACTTTTTCTTTTGTCCTACTGGCTTGGGGTTCTGTACTGCTAGTTATGTTTTCTTTGGTTCTTCTGCACATCCTAGGCTGAGGTTCACAAACCTTAGCTTTGGATTTACGCTCGGTGTAAACTCGACAACAAAGTCAGCCAAGACCTGATGTTTGATTGTTGTCCTTGGTCTATAGTCTATGTCATACTAACCTAGAATAAAGTGTATCATGCTATTCTTCTTGACAAGTCTTCATGTTGCAACAGAGCCTTCAGTAGGTACTCTGTAAGCACCACAATCTTGTGAGCCTGAAAGTAATGGTTCAGCTTTTTTGATGCCATTACCAAAGCGAGTGTTAGTTTCTTCAGAGGTAGGTACCTCATATTCGTGCTTGCCAAAGTTTTGCTCACATAATATACTGCATTCTCGTCTCTTTCTTCTTTTTAGACAACCACTGCACTGACCGCATGGTTTGAGATTGCTAGGTACAAAAATAGTTCTTCTCTTAGAACTGGGTTTGAAAATACATGTGGGGTTGTTAAATGCCTTTTCAAGTCAGCTAGGGCGACTTCGCATGCTTCTGACCATAAGAAATCTGTAGCCTTCTTCAACAGCTAGAAGAATGGCCTACACTTATCTGAACTCCAGCTTATGAACCTGTTCAATGCCGTTGTTTTGCTAGTCAAAATTTGGACCTCATTTGTTGTAGTCTGGGTCTTCAGATCAAGGATGACCTTGATCTGATTAGGGCTTGCTTCTATCTCCCTTCTGGTTACCAAATACCCTAGAAACTTACTAGATCCTACTCTGAAAGCGTACTTAGAGGCATTCAGCCAAAACTGATATGCCTGTAAGATGTCAAAAACCTCCTTCAGATCGGCTAGATGATTGAAAAGTTCATTACTTTTTACGACCATATCGTCAATGTAGACTTCCACAGTCTTTCCAATTAGATGTTTGAACATCTTGGTTACAAGCATGTAGTATGTTTCCCCTACATTCTTCAATCCGAAAGGGCATGACTCTATAGCAGTAGAGTCCCTTTGGAGTGATGAATGTCATCTTCTCTTCATCTGGTACGTATATGGCTATCTGATGATAACCTCTGTATGCATCGAGGAAGCTCATCCTTCCATGTCCCAATGTGGCGCCCACGAGCTGGTCTGTTTTGGGAAAAGAAAACCAATCCTTTGGGCAAGCTTTGTTAAGCCTCGTGAAGTCAACGCAAACCCTCAACTTACCATTTTTCTTCTTAACTAACACCGTGTTGGATAGCCAGGTCGAGTAGTTCACTTCTCAAATTGCCTATGCCTTCAGTAATCTCTCTACTTCCTCTTCAATAGCTTCTACATGGACCAAGGTCGGTCGCTTTACTCTCTAGATCACTGGTCTTGCCGTCCTATCCACGTTAAGCTTATGGCAGCTAACCTCGGGGATGATCACCTGCATCTCGTACGGCATCTAGGCATCCAAGCGAACAACTCTATATTTTCTCTTAAGAATGCTTCCAATTTTCGTTCTTTCACTTCGGCTAAACTTGAGCCAATGAGAAAGAATCGCTCTTTATTCCCTTTTTGTACCAGGATCTTTTTCAAAGGCTCATGGCTCTTGTCGGATGGTTCTTTGCCGACATCATCTAAAACCACTTGATCTTTGTCTTATACTTCAACCATCTCTTTTTCTGTGAAATTACAAGTGTACTTCATTGCTGCCATTGAGTAATTTTTTGCCTGTACTTGGTCTCCTCTCATTTCTTTAATCCCAAAATCGGTTGGGAACCGCAATAGCTAATGCAAGGTTGAGGGAACAACCCTCATGGCTTGTAGCCAAGGTCTTCCCAAGATAATGTTGTATGGGAAAGGCGTATCAATCACGATGAACTCAGTGGTTATAGTCTTTGTTCCCGCCTAAATCTTCAAGCACGTGGTTTCCAATGGCCACATCGGCGTCCCATTGAATCCGACCATGGGGCTGTCGGATTGCTCCAAGTTATCCTTGTGAAGGCCAAGCTCTTTGTAACATCTAACATACACGATGTCACAAGAACTGCCTTGGTTAATAAGTATTCACCTTTTCTGGCATTCTTTAATCTTTAGGGTCACCACCAGAGTATCGTTATGTGGATGTTGGACTATCTCCAAGTCTTCATCCGTGAATGTGACCATCGACTCCCGGTATCCTTTTCTCTGGGGCTTCTTCTGCTAAACTTGAAAGACATGTTGCAGATGTGTCACTCTCTATGTTTTTCCCCAGATTTCGTTCATGCTAACCTTGGGGTGGATCACGTTGATAACCCGTAATCCGTCTGCCTATGGCGTTAGGACTGGTGGTAATGCTGCTAGTGCCCGACCCAACTTCGCCTGTTCCTCCTTTGTCTTTTCATCATCTACCAAATCCCTTAGATGTCAATGCCTAACAAGATCCTCCAGATATTGCTTCAGAGCCCGACATCCTTGGTTCATGTGCCCGTTCTCGTCATGGTAGGCACAATTCTTCCCAAGGAACCTGCCCATGTATTCCCCTGGGATCTTCTGTGGAGGCTTGAAGCATGGTTTTAAAAATCGGACCGGACCGACCGGTTCACCGGTTTAACCGGTGGGTTCACCGGTTTTCAATAAATAGGCCGGACCGGACCGGTTTCAATTTTTTTTTTTAATTTTCTTTCTTTCTTTTCTTTCTTATTTTATATATATATATATAAATATATATAAAATGTAAGAATATAAGAAAATTTTAATTTGAAACTCTTTTTCAAGGGTCTCCTCTTGTGAGGAATCCCATTAAGAGCTTGATGAAATTATTGTGAAAGTCTTCACCTATTTATAAGAAAAAAACTCTTTCAAAAAAACTCAAGAAATCCATGTGGGATTCAATCAAATGTATTGGAGGGAATATTGAAATTTTGATATCTCTCCAAAATTTTTGCTTTCCTTTCAATCAAATTATTTGAATTAAAATCATATGGAGGGAATATTAAATATTTGATTTCATCTTCCAAAATTGAAATTAATAATATTTTAAAATATATTATTATATTTTTCAGTAAAAAAAATATTAGGACAAATATTTAAGATAATTTAATATTTTTAATATTTTTAATTTATAATTTTATTACTTATATTTTTATTTAAATATAATTTTAATATATTTATTACGTCACGGTTCGATTCCGGTTCAACCCGACGGTTGAACCGGTGACCCGTCCACCCGATGCCTTTTCCGATTTGTTCACCGGTCCGATTTTTAAAACATTGGCTTGAAGTACAGCTACTCTCTGATTCTTTCTAAGATCCTGTAGATCGGGATTTCAAAACTGTACTCACAGCCCGCCTGGCTTTCAATCCTGGTTTCTTCTTGTCAGTGTTGGTAATGTCTCACTTATGCTTTGGTGAGCCGTTTTGCTTCTACTACTTTATTGTACTTCCTTTCTTTGCCTTCTTGTCCTCTTCTGCCCTTGTGTAATTTTCAATCCTTGCCATGAGATCCTCCATATTTTTCAGGAGGGTCTTTGGAAGGGATTGCCGAAGTGGGCAATCATTCTCCAAGCCGTTCTTAAAAGACATGACTACAAGTTCCTAGTTACATGCCGGAATCCGGTTGTAAACCTCGTAGTACCTCTTGACATAAGCCCTTCTAATCTTCAAAGTCAATAGGGAATCAACCCTCAATGCTGCAATATGTTCGTAACAAACCTGGCCACAAACATCTCGGTCAGGCCTTCCCAACTCTTGACCCCTTTGGCAATTTGAGGAACCAATCCGATACTATTTCCCCAAATGTTGACGGGAACACATTGTATAACAACTATTCATTCTCACTCTACAAAGACATTGCATTCAAGTATAAACCAACATGAGAGCTCGAATCTGACTAATCATCGTAGATCTGGAACCTTGGCATGGCAAACCTCTTGAGTTCCTCGAATGCATCCAACTCCATCGAGAATGGTGACCTCAACTGAGCTATGGACATAATCTCGGCACTATTTCTCTTCCTTTGGAGGTAGTCCTGTAGGTCCTCCTTGGTCCGTCTTAGGGCTCACCTATCTATCGACTTTAATCTCTTCGGTGCACTGCTTCTCATGTTGGGATGCGTCCTTTTGGACTTCTCCACGTTTACTATCTCGTTAAGTCAGAGGCCCTGCCCGTTGATCTACTGAGATCCCCTGATCTGCGCCACTCTAGTTCTCTACGAATCTCCCCGCCGTGACTCTGTCCGTCCGGTGTTCTGCGGTTGCCGATTTGAAGTCTCAAGTCTCTTTCTGTGCAACAAGACAGTCAGCACCGTTGCCTGTCCTCCTTTCTAGGCGCCAGTATTTACTGTTGGCATCGGTGTTGCTGGTAACGACAACGCAGGTTGCATCACCTTGTTTTGCATCATGAAGTTCACAATGGTTTGCAGGTATGTCAACTTGGTTGCAAAGTCCTTCACCTCATCGTCTCTTCTTAGACATCACAAGACCTGGAAGTCGCTCTCATTGTAGTATTCCTCTCGGTTGCCCCTCATTGGGCCATTACAGCCCCTGGCGACATTTTTTGCTGAAGGATTCTATTCTTGCACTTCTTCTTCATTATTTTCTCCTCTAACGTTTGGACTGACGTATTCTTCTTCTTCACTATGTATGTCATCCCCAACTCTCACATTTTGTCGGACGTTGGTCTTATATTCTTACTAAGTTCCCACATAGGGTGTCAAATTGTGGGTGTTGATTTTTTATTTCACAACCAAACAGATCTCCTTGCCGAGATCTAGGGAACTCAGCTGGAGAACACACGGAATAATAGATTAAACCTACACCTGCGCACAAGAAAACAAGAAATGTCGTGGTGGCTCATCTACCCGAGAGTACTCAAACAATCAAGTCAGTAACTTATCTCACAAGATGTCAACTCAAATCAAGTGCTCACAAAATAAATTATATACTTTAGACCGACGGTACCTTACTTTTATACTGATTAGTATCCAATTTTCTCTAGAAGTCTTACTTCATGATACTCTATCATTTACAAGGATATCAATTATTTGGATTAAAACTGACCCTCTCAATAGTCCAACCTTACCCAAAAAAAAGTCTGTCATCATCTAGGACTCTAGTCCCTCATTTGAACATCTCGAATTCAGATGTAGTTTGACCACACCTTGGCCAATCAGAATCACCCACGTGACACCTTGGTCAACCACCTACGCTATGTTGACAACTCAAAATCATGTCCTCACAGTGACATTGGCGGAGATATGTTTAATTTATTAGAGAATTTTGATTTACTTGGGATTGCAAACCTTTACTTTATGTGCCATATATGAAAGATGTATTATTCGATGATGAAATTGATGGAAGTGCAAATTAAAGTTTTAAGTTTTCAAATTTTGCTCAGCTCTCTTTTGGAATGAAACTTTGTTTTGTAATATCTCATATTTAATGACATTAAAACAACTTATAGACTTTGCTTTGGTATTGATATTGTTGAACAATAATTTCTCTTTTGATTTTATAATTTTTTCTTTTAGTTTTGATATTAAACTTTGATTTATAAATTAAATCTCAAACTATAAATTAAAAAAAATTAAAAAATTTATTGGCGTACCTTAGCCATATTCGTATCATATTTTCTTTAGATCTTACCATATCAGCGTACTCATAACGTATCCGTATCAGTATCTGTATCCGCACCCGTACTTCATAGCCTACCAGTTAATTGGGTGATCAATCCACCTCTTGAGCTTGTTCGTTTTCTCCCAAGCACCTCTTTGTAATTGGGTTTGGTTGTTTATAAAATTTTCCTTGTTCAAAAAAAGAAAAAAAAAAAGAAATCTTAGTAGCGTTTTATAGAGTTTTCTAAATATGATTTGAGAGTAGAATTGTATTTTGAGTTTGTAAGTTTTGGAATTATAATTTGAGTGTGAAAAATTGTTTGGTTATGAGTTTTGAATTGAGTTTTGGAGGGAGTTTTGAATTTTTGAAATTAGAAAAGTTATTTGATTAAAAAATTTACAACTTATAACCAAACATACAACCTAAAATTATATTTAAAGCTCATACAAAAATTATAAAAATTCCGAAATATTTGTTATTTACAATATAAAAATAACAGGTGCTCAAGAAAAAGAAAAAAAAAAATTGAACACTGTTCCGGTCAACCCACTGAACGTCTGGGGGGACGTCCGGGAGGATGACCAAGTTAGCCAAATTTCCCCGCCTGAAAAAGAGTTTTCAAAAGTATGTATGGAATTATAATTCGAAAGCTCGAAACAAACACCACACTTATATGAGTGGATGGAAATGTATTTGGAACACATAACCAAACACAACTCTTGTTTTTTACTTTTTACGTGAACAAGAAATTGATGTTATAGCTTATATATTATTTTTAAATTTTTTGTTAGTTTATATGTTGGTGTTAAAATTCTGGATCGATACTTGATTTAGATTGAATTGAAGACAATAGACAAATAATTTGGATACCCAATATCTAATATATGCCCAAATTAAAGCCTATTCTCTTTGTGAAAACTTTAATTACGAATAATTATATGTGGCCATCTTTGTTAAATTTTGTGTACATTTATGTCTATAAACGTATAAACTTTATTTTAAAAATATGTTGCAGCTTATGGAGTTTAGGAGAATAATCTTAATTCTATTAAATTTTAAAATTGTAACTTAAAAATGTATAAAACAATTTTATATAATAAACTAACACCCAGTTTGATTGTAGAAATAATGATTAAATTAAAGAATAGAATTAATAACGATTAAATTGGTAGAAAAATTAGTGACTTAAAATAAAAGAATAATTCAAATTACTTAATTTATTTAATTTGTATTTATTTGTGACTAAAAATATATATAAAATAATCAAATAAAAAAAAGGAACCTGTATTGTGAAATATGTATAATTCAAGAAAAAAAATCGTTGACTTTTTGTGCTATAAAAAGTGTAATTTAAATATTTATGTATTATAACTTCATATAATATTAAATTTTAATACAATAAAAACAATTTATTAACTCATGTAATTCATTAATGAATGAACACTAAACTTTAAACAAAATAATCCCGAGAAGGTTGGCCTAATGGATGCAACTCGGGACCTAGGAGTGTGATTCCTATAAGTTTCAGGTTCAACTCCGATATTAGATTAGATTGGATATACACAGTGGAATATGCATAGTAATTTTGTTCACACACTCAAAAAATTACGTGTGAGCAATACGTACTTTTTAGTTAGTATAGAATAGTACGGCCTGCTATTTTACATGAAATCATTGTATTTTTTAAATACATAGTATCAACCATTTTAACTCAATGATATTTTGCATATTGTTGACGCACTTATAGGTGATTTAAGATTATCTAAATAAACTCATATGTATAACTTTGAAAAGTAATGAAAAAAAGTTGGAGCAATTCTGTGTCATTATTAGTGAAAACTCATTTCCAAGGAATTCATTAAACCATCTTCATCAACACCTCCTCACCTACAAACCTTGAGACTGTGTCTAGACCAAAATGGTGGCCTCGGTCATGTGCCAATCATCTTATACTATCCCAAGAGGGATGCAAATTTCAACGTCAATGAGAAACTGATTAATCAACTCAAGGATTCGCTCTCGGAAACACTGACTCTCTTCTACCCTCTTGCCGGAAGAGTCAAAGATGACGGCCTCTCCATCGACTGCAACGATGAGGGCATCTTGTTCTCAACGACCCGTGTCAACTGTGACATGGCCGAGCTGCTTACTGCACAACCACCCAATCTTCTTTCTTTACCCCGACTTCTTCCAGTTTATGTAATCCTTGATCCACGCGATAAGGCAGTTCAAGTTGCTATTCAACTCAACATATTTGCTTGTGGTGGGTTTGTGATCTCAGGATGTTTTATGCGGGTGATGCTATGGTACATTTAGATGTATCATACATTTAATTGTGAACTTATATGATTTTATGTCATAACTAATACCATGTAAGTCATAACCACTATCATTTTTTTTTTGGATCAGCAAAGAAAAATTTCATTTAACAGCATGAAATTAAAAGTACAGGAAGATGAGATGCATCGAGAGAGATTCGGAAGTATAAAAATACCCCTACTACTGCTACTCGCATCCATACAACCAACCCCTAAGCCTCTCAAATTTTTAAATAAAAAAGTTAAGAAGAACTTAACTAGATAATTAAAATACATGAATCCCCACATAATAACCCACAAAGACACCCAAAACAAACTAAAAAACTAAACAAGACCCACGGCGCTGCTGCAAAACAAACTAAAATAGAAGAACTAAACTAAAGACACCCATGCAGCCCGAAAGCAACCACGCCTCTGCCAAGACCACGTCACTGCTGCTACAAACTCCCCATGCCTCACGCCTGCACCTGATTACAACCCCACAAGACCCACTCCTATGCCAACACCCTATGCACACGCCACCTCTGTTGTAGCCCACACTACCTACGCCTCTGCTGCAGCCTACACCACCTACACCTCTGCTGCCCACACCACTCCTTGCCGAGAAAAACTCTCCGGCCGAGTGAAACTCCAAGCCAACACCGGACAGCAGCACCAAGAATTTGACAATGCAGCACCAAGACCCAAGATCACACCTTCCACCTACGCCTCTTCTTCTTCATTCACACCCCCAAGAACTTCTTCTTACTTACACCCGCTGCAACTCCAAGACCCACCGCAAACCAAGACCGAAGTTCTTCTTCTTTCTCACCAAGACCCAAGTTCACACCCTCCACCTACGCCTCTTCTTCTATCACACCCCCAAGTTCTTCATCTTTCTCACACCCGCTGCAACTCCAAGACCCACTGCAGAACCAAGATCCAAGTTCTTCTTTCTCACACCCACTGCCTCTCCCCTGCTGCAATGATCTTCTTCTTTCGCACACCCAAGTTCTTCTACTTTCTGACACCCACTGCAGATCCAAAACCCGACCAAAACACCTACCAACCGCAGTGATAACACCATACATATGGAAGAAGTTCACCCCTCAAACTCTCACCCGGACGGAGCGCACGAATAAAAACCAGACAGATCTGGAAACGCCCAAACAGAGCACCGATACTACTCCAAAAATCTGAACCAGTGAACACCCCTCAAGCTCCAACTCGCCAAGAGCGCTCGAGTGAAGATCCTGGACGTCAAAACACACCTCCAGCTATTACAAAACACACCTAGGTGGGAAGATCATGGGGGAAACAAATTTACTAAAGGAAAAACCTAACAAACAAACGACGGAAAAAGCTAAGGCCAGCCGACCGCCATTGCCAAAGGCGGCGGCCGGCCGGCCCAAAGGAGGCCTGGGGAGGAGGTTTTTAGAGAGAGAGAGAGAGAGAATAGAAGGACTTGTCTAATTAATATTTGTGTATTTTAATATCATTGTCAATCTCAAACTACACCTGATAATAACCACTATCATATTGACTCATAACTTAGTTATATTAAGTTATTTATTTATACCATATTACTTCATAACCAGGTCATAACTAAATTACTTAAATAATTTGACTCTCAAATAGGCAACCGGTGTAGCCGGTTAGAACGGGGAACAAAATTGAATCAGTCGTGTTTGACCCTCTTGTTGGCTCTTCTCTTCCCTCTTCTCTTCCCTCTTCTTTTCTGCCATAGCCGAAGCTTCCAAGGACCACCAGCCTCGTCGGCGATCCGAGCTTCAGCCATGTCGACATCTTCTTCACAAGCTCTCACTCTTTGTACTTCTCCACCATGGGTTTGTGACCAAAGACCTAGTCATCGTCTTTTCCCTTCCCTTCCAGTCGAATCGAATTTTTCCGAGAACTCTTTTCCGTAGTTCAGGTTTGTTGCTAACTCTAAGCTTCATTTAAATGTGCCATTGGTGCTTTGATTTCAAAACCCTAACCATTGAATATCTGTTATTAATTTTTTTTATCAGTCAAAATTAATATCCATAGCCGCCCAAGATAGTTGTGCCATTGGGGCTTTGATTTCAAAACCGTAACCGTAAAGAATGAATATCTGATATTTGTTCTCATTCAAAATTAACATCGGTTCTCAGTCATATTCACATTCCTTTAATTGCTTTCATTTTGCTGTTTCTTTGTCTTCTATGGAGATGTCATTACTTGATTTCTATGCTTCTATATTAGATTGATACTTGTTATTGCCCCAATTCTATTTAATATTTGGCTCAGCCTATGTATTGTCTTTGTTTTGTTGTTTTGCTACAATTTTATCTTTTGCTCACCATGTGTTTGATAATATGCCCAAACGAATAATAACATACTTTCATTGATCACTTACTGTATTGATTAGGAAAAACAACTTATTTTTAATTAGTTTGTTTTCCTTGCCTGCAATATTTCGTACCACTCTTAATCAACAATATGATTTCATTGGATTTTCCCTTTTGGTTCAAAGTAAACCTTTATACAGTTCTCATCTCTTTAGAGTTTTTATTAACTTCTCTATTTTTATTATGTGTGGGGTGCTTCTATTTATACCCGAAAAACAATTCTTTACACCCCCCATTTAACCATGTACACTAAAGTTTAGAAACACTTAACCTTTATATATCATTTTTATTTTTCAGTGAATATATTTTTTAATATTTTAATAACAATTTAAATGTTTTTTCTAAAAAAAAATATGTTCAGTTTATAAAAAAATCTTCATTTTAGCATGAATAAAATCAATATAACTTACAATTTGATGGTTCCAATTGGCAGATAAAAAATGCCAAAAGAGAATGAAGATTTGCAAATTTGTTGGCACATGTTATCACGTGTTAGGTACTAACCTTGATTTCTTAGCAGTTCACATAATGTTTCTTCACTCTAAACCTATCATTGTTACTCATTAAACTCAACACAAACTTAATTCCATACTTATTGTCATCAGCTACAACAAAATCCAACCCCTTCGATTGAACAAAAGAAAGGCCATGGCTTGAAACCCATCTAAAAGCAACTGAAATTTTGATAGAATGAATAATATGTTTACATGGACAATAGGTTTGACATTATGGACATGAAAGCAAACGTATATTGCTCATTTTTTAACTTTGTTCATCATTATTTTTTATTTTTTTCTTTTTAGGTATTTCCATTACGTTTTGCAAGTTACAATTGGCTATTGTTTTTTGTTGTTGATTGAACTTAGAAATTTGTAAACAACAGTTTCATTTTAACCTTTATTGCCTAAGCTGTATATCCTGTATTAGATTATAGATATTCTTTGCGTTGAGTATGGATATCTTAACCTCCTTGTTTGCTTCTTCTTTTCCTGATGTATATTTGTAATTGATGTGGCAATGGATATCTTTGCCAAACTTTTATATACTTTCTTCTTCTTCTTCTTCTTCTTCTTCTTTTTTTTTTTTCTTTTTTGGACAAAATGTAGTGTAGACTTTCCCATGATTATATACCCGCATCACTTTCCTCCCTCTTTCCGTTTCTTCTCTCTCGCCATCTTCACCACCAGTTCTGCAACCCATCTCCTTTCCTTATTCCTCATGATCGTCGAACTCATTGACTGGGGGAAGAACTGAAGATTTAGTAAGGTTTTGTAGCTAGAATCTGTTTTGTTTTGTTTTGTTTTTTTTTTTTGAAGCCCTTACCATTCTTAAATTGTGTAGTATTCAAAAATCGAAATCGAAATCGAACTATGAAAATATTTGATTCCTCTATGGTATATTTACAAATTGATTTTTTGTTTGATTGACTTGAAAGCATTATATTAGTTCTTTCATTTCTTCTAAGTCTTGTGTAAGCAAATTATTTTTAGTGACAATTACTTTTTTCAAAATTTTTGTTTTAAAGAATTCTCTTAGTTTATCATTGTTCTAAGAAACATCTCTGATGTACTCTTCCATTTATCCCTGAGATTTTCTTTATCTTATTGAGTGTAGTCGTTCGTTTTTTTTTTTGGGAGGGGGAGGGGGTTGTTAAATAGTTATGTTTTCGCCAACATCTGGAAAGGATTTTTGTAGAGTGATGTTGTAAATTTACCTAATCCTAATGATATAGGCTAAGTTTATTTGCTTGATGATGATTTCTATATGCTGAAACATAACCATAATTTATTCTTTTTTTGCCTTCATTTTTTTTTTTCATTGGCTTGAAATGGCAGGTTATATGTGTGCATTTAGAGCAGTAGTGACTACATGAAGTACTGTTCTTGTCATAGGTGAAAACTTTGAATTTTGACTATAGTTTTAACTTCAAGTCAAACAACTTGAATTGCTATGAAATTTAATGCAAAGTTTGAACCAAAACTATACTTATTGGTGTTGACTTGGTAGTTAAGGTGGATTGTCCTTGAAAAAATGCAGCATATTGTCATTTAGGTATGTCAACTTGTTGAGAAACTCTGTTTGCATATGAGAATAGGACCCATTCTTTATCTGATTTGAAGGAACATTTAGAGATTTATATATAACATATTCACATGTGCAGGCTTTGCTTTTAATCTGATTGTTGTTTTTACCTTTTGTAAATTTGATTTTACAGATTATTATTATAATTGTTGTTATTGTTATTAGGTTTTAGTTAAAAGTTTTGATGTTTGAGGATTTGAGAAACTATTAGCTCATCTTTGAGAAAACATTATTATTATTATTGTTATTAGGTTCAGTATTTGTTATATTCACAAACTCTATCACTAATTTATAACCATTTCTCTGTTTTTTGTTATTCAGTTTTGGCCATCAATTTCATGGACATTGCCATAGCAATTGCCAACTATCAAAGAGGAAGGTAACATGTAATTAATGCTTCTCTTTTTTTCTTTTCCCTTTTTTTAGTGTATAATGGAAAAACAATTATTGTGGTTGTTTGTATAGGTAGTGAGCTTTTTCCCCTGTTTCTTCTATTTTCTTTTTCATTTTTTTTTAAAATATAAATATGTTCCTATTCTTAACAAAC